CCCATCGCCACACTTCCCCGTGCCTGAAACCACCATGCCACAGCCGCTCTGCCGCCAGCCACAGTGCCAAGAGAGACTGCTCCTATCAGATAGGCGGCACGTCCTGCCCTTGTGGCCACCGGCATGCCGGGAGGCTGGAGTAGGAAGAAAAACAACCCCTGAGAAACCAGGGAGGCCCTCCCATGGGGCATGCAGGGCCAGGGGGGCAGGGCAGGGCAGGCTGTTGGGCACTGCAGGCAGGCGGGAGCATGGGGCACGGGGTGGCTGCTCTGGCTCCATCCCACGCTGTGCCGCCTGGGATGGGGCTGCGTCGGGGCCGCCCTGCATGGCATCACCCCCTGCCGTGGGTGGCCGGAGGGGTGTCCCACCCTGCCAGGGCGCAGCACCAGCCAAGGTGCGAGGAGCCACTTGCACATGTGTCCTCACCGCGCCAAGGACGGGTTGGCGTCTCCTCACCCTGCAGCAGCTGGGGCCGGCACCAGGGGAGATAGGAACAGCCAGCACCAATTTGTCACAGTCAGATTTTGTCAAACCAGTCCCACCTCCTTCTCCTGGGCTTTGCCATCAGGGAGGCAAAAAGCAGAAAGCCCTTGGTTTGAGCAGGGCCGATGACACTGCCTCATGTGACACATGCCCAGCCGGCAGCGGAGGAGGCGGCACACGTCAGGCTGCCCGTGTGAGCTGGTCCCTGTCCCCATTTCACTGGGGACCTCAGCAACGGGGCAGAGAGGCTGCAGATGACACCTGCTGGCAGCAGAGCACTGAAGGCCAGAATGGGAAATCAAAATTGTATTGACAGGGTTGAAACACCTTCTGAGGAAAAAAGACTCTTGTTCAGAAGGGCAAATGCCAAACACATCTGCCTTGGGGTGGGATAATGGGCTCTGCAGGAGCAGCCCTTGCCTCCCACAGACCACAGAAGATGACCAGATGGGCAGCTGGATGGCACGCCTAGGCCTTAGCAAGCTGAAGCCAATGGAGATGAAGCCCATCCGCTGTCGGTATAACAAACCGCAGCAGCGCAGGACAAGTGACCGCAGCCTGGGGCAGGAGCTCCCGTGGGAGGGGGTCACTGCAGAGCCCAGGTGAATCTCGAGGGACCGGCACACGCAAGGAATGCCCAGCAGCACGCCTTTGAGCAGGCTGGTCCCTTCTGCAGGACACGGGAAGTCACCCTATGGCTCGGCACAGCACCGGGCAGGCGCCAGCTGGCCGGGGTGGGAAGGGCGTGGAGCTGCACAGCCCCGTGGGGACCGGCTGGAGGAGCAGGGCTGTCCCTGTGAAGAGTGGCCAGCCAAAGGGAAGCTGCAGGAAGAGTTTTCAAGCATGCAAGAGGCGGCTGTGCAGGGGAAGGACATTGTCTGTTCTCCATATCCCTGGGGGCAGGACAAAGTCTTAAATTGCAGCGGGGCATATCCCAGTTGGATACTAAGAAAACCCATCCCCACAGCATGGTGAGACCTGGGGCTTGTCTGGGGGCACTGGGGCATCCCTGGGGATCATCAGAGGACCCCAACAGGGACAGGATGCTGAGGAGTGCCCACCACAGCAGCGCACTGTCAAGGCCCCACATCCTGGTCCTTGGTGCCCTCAGGGAGGCAGAGCCAGGACCCCACCTCCCCTCCTCTGGACCCGGCTGCCTGTTGTGCTACATTTATTGTCTGTAAGGCAGAGCTGGCACCTCCCAAGGGTTACGGCAGAGCTAGAGGCTGTGCACAGCCAACGCTGTCCCTCGTTCCTTTGCACCCACCGGGGTGGCCCCGTCCCACGCCGGCAGTGATGCTCGCAGCCCCGCTGGCACCGCTCCAGGCCCAGAGCACACCAAGAGCTGCAGGGCAGGCACCTCCTGGGTCACTGCTTCCCCTCTCGCCCCAAACCTTGGGCATTTTGTGTCCGTGGCCACAGGCATCGGCTCCTGGGAGAGCCGCTCTCCTGCCTGTTCTGCTGCAAACACCCTGCTGGCACTTGTCCTTGGGGGCCGTCCCAGCGCATCCCCCAGCAGTGTGGGGCCATGTTGGTGGCTGGCAGCGTGCCAGCGTGGCCAGCACACACTGGGTGGGTAGCCAGGGAGGGGAAGGCACAGTCCTGCTGACGGGAAGATGCTCTCAGGAAGGGGGCACTGGTGTTTGGCTGCTCGGCCCAGGGGTGGGGGCAGGCAGCCCCTTGTCCCCACAGCACTGTCCCAGCAGGCTGGGGCCAGCGTTGCCCCTCCATGCGGTGCCAGCACAGCCTCATGCCTCCTCGGCAGTGGCATCGATCCCCGCATAGGTGAAGTTCTCAAACAGGGCCATGTTCACGTAGGCCTGTGGGGGAGAACCTCAGTCAGGAGCTGGTTGTAACAGTGTCCCCATCCACCTCCTGTCCCTGCTGGCACGCTCATGGGCACTGTGCCCTGGGGGGAGGTGACGGGGCTCCCCACAACTGAAAAGTGATGCTGGGGTTACCCCAATGTGTGGTGGAGTCACACAGTTTCTGCTGCTGGATGTCCTGCCCCCTGCCCAAGGGATGCTCCAGCATTCGGACAAGCCCCATGCAGGGGGAGCATCCCTCCTGCCCAGCCGGGCTGATGCGGGTGCCTGCGCCCAGCCCCAAGGCCGCTGCCACTCACCTTCCTGGCCTCCAGCATGCGGATGAGCTGCATGGAGATCTGGGCGAAGGGCGGGCGCTCGTAGGGGCGGTCACGCCAGCACTGCCTCATCAGCTCGTACCTGGGGGCAGAGAGACGGCGGTGGCTCAGCATGCGCAGGGGGAGCGGCAGCAGCAAAGCTGTTTGTGGGAGATGGGGGGGAAGCAGGAGAGGAACTAAAGCCCAGGAAGGGTGTTTGGGGTGTGGGACCCCAGCTCACCCCCCAGCCACAGTGCAGAGGGGAACCAGGCAGGAGCTAGCACAAATTGGTGGAGCCCCATGGGGCAGTGGGGTCACAGGGACGTGGGTGCCGGCATCAGCCAGGGCTCCTTGCCCACTTACACCTCATCGTCACAGTTGCGTGGCTTCTCCATGCGGTAGCCCTGGGGCAGCTTCTCGTAGAGCTCGGCGCATGTCATCCCGCAGTACGGCGTCCCCCCTGCGGCCAGAGACACACAGCTGGCTGCAGTGGGGACGGTCCCTGGGTGGCCCCTCTGGAGCTGCAGGAGGACCAGACCTGCAGGGACCCAAGTGGAGGCAGGGGACAAAAAGAGCCTTACCCAAGCTGACGATCTCCCAGAGCAGGACGCCAAACGACCACCTGAAAGGGCAGGAGCCGATGCTGTGAGGGAGCCCACAGCTGTGCCCCGCTGAGAGGCATGGGGCAAAGCCCAGGGTGGAGCAGGCAGCCAGGGCTCCAGTCAAGCCAGCAGCTCCCCAGGGAGATGCACCAGCGTCACCTCCTGCCCTTGCAGTGCCCAGAGCAAAAGCATGGCTGCACTGACCACACTGGAGAGGGATGGAGGTGGTTCCATGCCCCAGCCCCAGCGCCCCTGCCTGCAGGACTTACACATCGCTCTTGGTGGTGTACACGCTGTAGTTCAGGGACTCAATGGCCATCCAGCGAACCGGCAAGCGGCCCTGGGGAAACAGAGAGAGACCGTCAGGGCAGGGGGGAAGCCCCGTGGATGGAGGGCAGCTGTGACCCAGCCCTTCTGGCACGGTGGGTTGTTCCCACTCATGGCAGGGGTCCTGCCCACTACACCAGTTCAGGCCCCATGGACATGCTTTGCTTTTGCCTCACCATTGTCTTCTTCACATAGACCTCCTCCCCTCTGGAGAGGCCAAAGTCGGCAATCTTGGAGGCCAGGTTTTCTCCCACCAGGATATTCCTGGCTGCCAGGTCCCTGTGAATGAACTAAAAGGGGCCAGCAGTCAGCAGAAGCCGCATACTCCCTACTGCTGGCCCTGGGGGTCTTGTGCCCTGGCTCAAGAGTCCCCAGGCCCCTGGGGAAAGGATGCTCTGGGGAGCTTGCTGGGGATGTACCTGCTTCTCGCTCAGGTACTGCATCCCCTTGGCCACGTCCGAAGCAAACTGGAGGAGCTGCTGGGAGGTGAGGGTGGAGGCAGTGCCGTGCTCCTTGGCAAAGGCCGGGTCCGTCTCCAGGACTCGGCTTTTGCGGAGGAAGTCGAGGAGGTTTCCGTAGGGAGCATACTCGATGGCGATGTACAGGTAGCCTGGGGGGCAGGAGGAGGTTGGGCTTGTGGGGCTGTCCCCGGCAAAGAGCAATGCACAGCTGGGCAGGGGCCGTGGGGCTGGGAGAGGGGACAGGGGGACAGCCCTCACCCTTGTTCTCGCAGGCACCCAGCAAGTTGATGATGTTGGGGTGATGGCCCAGTTTGCACAGCACCTCCAGCTCCCCGGCAAAGTCCCGATGGTCATTCTCCGAAGCAAACTCTGGAAGCAAATTAGGGATGGACGTCTCAGTCCTACAACAAGGGCCCTTCCTCTGCTCCTCCGCTGATGGCTCCTGCCCCTCCTCAGCCCTGAGTCTGGCCCAGGATGCAGCTGCAACCCCCATCTCCCCTTGCTCACCTCCCTGCACCGCTCACCTTTCAGCATCTTGATGGCCGCGTTCATTTTCAGGCCGTCCTTTTTGATCATAGCCCTGATGACCTGCCCAAAGTTGCCCTCCCCAATCATATCCTCAAACTTGATGTCTTCCCACTCCAGAATGGGGTAGCTGAGGGGCTCAGGCTGCGGCTTGGGCCGGCGTGTCAGGGTCAAGGTCCCCGAATTGAACTGCAGGATGGTCTCTTCCCCCTGGCAGATGGGAGTGGGTGAGGTTAGAGGTACCGGGCACCTCTCTGCCCGCGCGGCAGTCCCGGCAGGGCAGGCGTCGTGGGCAAGGGCAGGCTCCGCACCCTCTCCATGTGGCAGTGAGGTCTGGCTGCGTCTGGACTGGAGGCTACGGAGCGTGACCTGGATCGGGCCGGAACGTGGGGAGCTGGGGACATGGTCCTGGAGGGGCAGGCAGCACTCACCGAGCCAGACTGGTACGTAAAGGTGCGGCGCCGGTGGAAAAAATTCTTCTTGATGAGGAAAAGCGCCAGGAGGGCAAAGAGGATGGTGAGGCAGGTGACGGACACGGAGCCGACGATGGCCAAGAGCAGCTGCTGGTCTATTCCCGCCTGCTCGGTGCTCTGGCTGCCCAGGCTGGGTGGCACGCTCAGCGCTCCTGATGAAAGGAGGGGTGGAGGGTCGTGGTCCACAACCGAGCCTTGCCCAGGCTGCACGGGTGGCCAAACACCAAGACAGCAGCCCTCTCCTGGCACCCCAGGATCCCACAAAGACACCACAACTGCATCCCCAGCTCCCATGGCCATGGTGGCACAGGGGTGAGGGTGGCACAGGTGTGAGGGTGGCACTGCCTGGGCCCCTGCCACCAAACCTGCCAGTTTCTGGACCCTCCAACCAGCTCTGTGCCCAGCCACCAGTGCCTCCCAGGCTGACTCTGCCCTACTCCTTTACCCCCTTGCACACCGCGTCACCCTCTGGCCAAGGCAGAGCCACTCTGCAGGTGCTGTGCTGTGACCGTGCCACCCCTGCCCCATCAGGACTAGGAGGAGCAGATTTCTGAAGATGCCCACAAGAATTTTGGGTTTGGGCTGCTGCTTCAGAGCCGCTCTCTGAGGTTACCATGAGCACCCCGGTTGCTCTTTGCTGACCCAGATGCTGACCCCAAACTCCAGAAGAGCCACGAGCCTCGTGCCTGCTGGGACACTTTACTCACCGTCCCCCAAGGTCTTGGCTTTCACGGGCTGGCTCCACTCCCCCGGAACATGGGAGTTGGCCCGGACACGAAACTGGTAGCTGGTGCTGGCGTTGAGGCCTCCAACGATCTTGGTGGTCTCGGCGCCACTGTCAGTGTCGATCCACTGGGGCTCGCTAGTGCCCCCCACCTGCTGCAGCTCCACAATGTACTTGGTGATGCCCCCATTTGGGTACTCGGGGACCTGCCAGGAGAGCCTGATGGCAGTGTCAGACACGGACTCTGCCGAAAGCGACCGTGGGGAGGAGGGCCCTGGGACGAAGAGGGGAGAGTGTCAGTCCTCCTGGTGCTGCAGGGACTGAGCGTGGGGACCGGACCCCGTGGATGGCAATGGCAACCAAAGCTGTGCCAGGTTTGAGGGACCTCCAGGGACCCCTGGCCCCTGCTTGGGCGGAGGCAGGAGGAGGTAGGCCTGCTCTGCAGCAGCATGGCAGGACTGCACTCACAAACACTCCCAGCCTCATGTCTCTGTATTGACTAGCTCTTGGGATATTTTCTTTCTTCAGCTCTCCCTCACACATGGCAGGTTTTGATCATCTTATTCCCACCGCCTCCTCTGAGCCTTCCCCAGCCTGCCCACATCCCTAACACCAAATCACCAAATCACACAAAGCTCTTAAAATTACTGAGCAGAGAAAACCTCACATTCTTCAGGCCTGATACCCACCAGCCCTCCCAAGGCTTCACTGAAGGCCTCATGCACTGCTTTCCCCTTGCCTGCCAGAAATGTTGGTCAGGCTGGTGCTGCTCCTCCCCAGGATCTCCCACCCACGTGGGGGGCTGCGTGAGTGCGTGTGTGTGTGCATGTGCCCCCAGAAGGGGCTGCAGATCTCCTCAAGCCCTAGTGACCATCCAGCAAAATTACCAGGGTGCAGGATTAAAGTGAACCAAAAGGAAATAATTTTTTCATGCAAAGCAGAATATATCAAGGAACTTGTTGCTACAGGATGTCGTAAAGGCTGCAAGTATAGACAGGTCCACTGGGGCTTGGCCAAGGGTGTGGAGGGCAGATCTGTTTGCAAGCATCACTTGTCTTGACCTGAATGTCATGTTCATCTTAGAATGTTTCTCAGCTGCTTGGTGCTGCAGGGTCTAGCAGGGAAAGGGGGACCCATTTTCCCCCAAGCAGCTGTTCATGCACTAGCAGAGATGGCGTACAGAAGCAGCCAGAGCTAGGGATGGTCACTGTTAAGTTTATAACTGATTTATCATTGTAATTCCCTGTGCGGTGCCAGACCCACCTTTGCTGTTGATCATGACCCTGTAGAGGTCGGAGGGGGGCCCCAGGCTAGCGCAGTGGTAGACCAGTACCTCCAGCCCATACTCCTTGTTGAACTCCAGGTCCCCGATGCGGGCGGAGAGCACAGAGATAGATGTGATATTTTTCTCACAGACCAGCCGCTTCGCAGAGTCAAAGAGGCGGACGATGAACCCATGTGCCGGCTCGTGGTTACTTGGCAGTTTCCAATTGATGTGAAGTGTGTTTTTCTCCTCTATGGACCAGCCTTCAATCACAGGCTTGACTGTGGGCTCTGTGAACAAAAAGGCAGCAAAATCTCATGCACAAGGTTAGGGGTAGGATCAGTGTTAAGGTCAGGGTAAGGGAGATGGGGGCTCACCAAGGCACTCGGTCACCATGATGGCCTCGGGCCCCTTGCTGCCCTCCCCACCATCCCCCGGCCGGCTCAGCTGCACCTTGACAACGTAGGCGGTCACCGGACGGAGGTTCATGAGGGTGATGTTCTCGCTGTTGTCAACTGTTGGCCAAGGGGACACGTCAAAGCCATGCCCATGACCTACGCTCTGCCCTGCCACTGGCATCCTCCCCAACATCACTGCAGGGGTCCCAGGATGGAGAGCTCTTCCCACCCCAGACCCCACTGGCTGGGACAGCCATCCCCTCTTGCCTGGGTCCTACCTCTGTCCCCCCTCCCCTGGCAAACACGTACCCACAATGGATGACCACGCTGAGGTGTCGTCCTTGGGCTTGTAGAGCAGCTTGATGGACACAATGGGTCCGTCACCGGAGAAGCAGTCCACGGGTGACACCACGAGCTGGCGGCTCTGCTTGGCCAGCAGCCGCGGGGGGCTCAGGGGTGCTGGCGGCACTGGGGGTGAAGGAGGGAACGACACTAGTGGGACTGGGAGCAACGAGGAGCAGCATCTGTGGACATCCACCACCTCTTGGCTTCTTCCAACTTTGTCAGAGAAGTTTTTTATCACCACCCAAACCTGTCTGCTGGCACTGCGGCATGCAATGGGTTCCACCCAGTCCAGTGTGTTGGGGGTTGGCATTGCCACACCATGCCGTCAGCCTCCCCCGGCAGCCCCAGCTTGTCCCACTTGTGCTGCTGCCCTTTCCTCACCTCGGATGTTGACCTTGACTTTCCGGCTGTCCTGGCCCCCAGTCGTGGAGACCCGGCACTCCCAGAGCCCTGTGTCTGCCTTCGTCAGGTGCCGCACCTGAAACTCGCAGGTGATCTGCCCTGGCTCGATGATGGCTTTGATGAGCTGTAGGCACACAGGGTGCCGTCAGCCCCCCCAGCTCAGCCCCCCAGCTTCCCGCGCTGGCCTGATGCTGCCCAGCAGACGGGTGGGGAAATGGGTGCTTTTGGGGGAGCCGGCAATGCAGGTGGGGGCTGATGCGTGGGGACGGCAGTGGGGCGAGGGCACAGGGCAGTGGGGAGCGGGTGCCAGGCGGGCGGTGGTACCTTGAGCACGGTGCCATCAGCCTTGCGCAGCTCCACGCTGTCGCTGGCTGGCAGCGGGTTGCCAGTGGCCACGCAGCTGATGACAGGCTCCGAGCCCAGGTTGAACTCCAGCTCTGAGGCCAGTTGGATGATCTGGGGGAACCAGTCTGGCACGGAGAAATCGGTGTTAGGGCTGGCCCCGCTCCTCCCCAGG